CTCACAACTGTCTGTAGTTCCAGTACCAGGGGATCCAACATGCTCACACAGACAAACACACATAAAGTAAAACTAAATCTTAAAAAGAAAGATGCTGAAAACGAAGCTACCATACAACTCCACTAACCCACTCTTGGGTAACCCACTCTTGGGGAGACACTGACACACTAAGTCACACCACACACAGACACTTGTGCATCCATGTTTATTACTGCACTGTTCACAAAGGCCAGAGAGTGGAACCTGCCATGTGACCAGCAACCAATGAACACAGAAAATGTGGCACATATACACAATGGAATATTACTCAGTCATACAGAACAATAAGCTCACAGCAATTGCTGGGAAGATGCCATTGGACAGCATCCTGTTAAGTGAGATAAGTCAGACTCAGAAAGATAAGTACATATTTTATCTTATATGTGCAAGAATGTTATTTATATATCTATCTGTTTTGAGATAAAATCTTACTATGTAGCCCCTGCTAGACTGAATCTTGATAGGAATTTGACTGGCCTCAAACTCACAGAGATCTGTCTGTCTGCTTCCTGAGTGCTACGATTAAAGGCATGAGCCACCAGCTTTAAATGTGAATTGTTTGACTTTTATTTTATGTTTATCAGTGTCTTATCTGCACGTATGTCTGTGCACAAATGGGGCAGTAGAAGGTTCTGGAGTCCCTAAAACTGGAGATACAGATGGCTGGTTCTAAGCTACCATATGGATGCTGGGAAACAAACCCATGTCCTGTGTAAGAGAAGCAAGTCCTCTTAAGCACTGAGCTATCTCTCCAGCCCCATGGAACCTTCGTGTAGGGGTGGGGGTCAGGGGACAGGACTAGAAAGGACATCATAGGAAGGAAGGAAGGAAGGAAGGAAGGAAGGAAGGATGGAAGGAAGGAAGGAAGGAAGGAAGGAAGGAAGGAAGGAAGAAAGGAAAGAAGGAAGGTCAGAAGATGTGAGGCAGGATAGTGCAGTGGTTCTCAACCTTCCTAACACTATGACCCTTTAATGAAGTTCCTCAGGCTGTGGTGACCCAACCATAAAATTATTTTCATTGCTAATTTGTAACTGTAAACTTGCTACTGCTATGAATCATAATGCAAATATCTGTGTTTTCTGATGGTCTTCGGAGAGACATGACTCCCAGGTTGAGAATCCCTGGCATAGTGGCTAGCAGACCTGAGGAATCCTATGAGGAAGAAAGAGACCAGATGGATGGTGGACCCCTTCTTTCAGTCATCATGCCTCTCTGACTCTCTTTCTAAAGCTAAATTCTACACTGCTGATAACGAAATAATTTACAAAATAATTTATGACATTGTGATAACAGTTCCCTTAACCAGACCCTTGCCATTTTTCCCAACTTATTAACCCTTTCCTTCCTGACAGTGCCTCCAGCTTAAAACTAATTTTATAAACTAATAAAAATAATGAAATCTATACAAGTTACTTACTAATTACCTCATAAATAATCATATTCTTTTATAGGTTGATATTTATACATATAGTCATGATTAATTACCAAAACAAACTTTATTTAGCCTCCTATATATGTCATCAAAGTTCAACAAAAAGTAAATAACTAAAAACAAACAGCAGTTTTCTATTTGGATATCCTTTAGATTGACAGGTGGTCTTCAGACACTTCAGAGATCTTCAGAGTATGGCATTTAAAATGTTCAATAAGAAAGCTTTTCATAAGAGATACACCTGCTTCTGACAGCACCATTGGTCTCCTCCCAAAGAGATAAGCACAGGAGAACCTTCACCTGGGAGTTTGCTTCAAATTTGACAAAGCAGGCCACTGGGCTGCAAACTGTCCTGGTCACTACTGCTGATAACTCAGTGTCCACACTGTGGATGGGCAGGACATTGGGAAATTGACTCACTTTCCCTAGACAAGGTAGGTCAGTTCCCCTAAATTCCTGCTCCACAGGAAAGTCTGTAAAATTTTCTGGGCCTGAAGGCCAAAAACGGATGCCCCAGTGACCACAGAGGAATCCTGTCCATGTAGCTGCTAAGCCTGTGTCATGTTTAATAGACTCAGAGCTGCTCATTCTTTACCTCACTTCCTGCTTACTCACATAAGATTTGTCCTCTTAGGTCTCATGGATTTGAGGATCAGTTTAATAACAAAAACCAAGGGCTCAGCTGCCATCTCAGTCCTCTTCACGGGTAAAGATCAGGCCTAAACCCTCACTCTCCTAAAGCTGCAACTGCTGGGTCTAGACTCATTTTACCTTATTACCAGAATTAAGAAAGATTCCTATATAATTTTTACTATTCCTTTATCTAAAGAAACTCACTTTACAATGTCTGCTCTCAATGATCAACCACCTACGACTCATGTAAAATAATTGGGTAGGCAAAATATAAAGTTTAAAGTTTATGTAAGGCCTGAGGATACAAAAGCTTCTAAGGAAGTGTTTAAGGATCTAAGAAAATGTTCGAGGGTCTAGGAAGGTGTTTTGAGTTTGGTAAATGTAAGGTAAGAAGATTGGAGGGTGTAAAAAGCTTAGACAGCACAAAAAATGATTTAAGGTGTACTGGAGAAATGGAAAGTGCTTCTGATTCTGATCCCTCTCTATATTACTGCTGTATTAAGCTTCAAAAGTTCAAAATTTTACTATTAACCAATAGAGTTCTGATCCACTCTTAGTCTAACTCTGATAAAGCCTTCCACTGTTGACCCACTATTATTGTAGTCACAAGCTCAAGATTTTAAATTTCCTCTGGTTGTTTTCTAAATATAGACTTAAAAGTGTTTTTCATCAAGAAGGCACATCTAATCCATATGCATCCAGCCTTCTGGACAGAGGAAAGAAGTCCCTCTTTCCCAATCTCTAATCATACTGCAAATCAGGATCAAGGGAGCTCTTGCCCCTTCTGTCTCACAGAAGGTTTGTCTTCCCTGAGCTCACCTTAAAGAGTCTTCATGCTTTTCACCCCAAATCATTTTCCAAGTGTCTACTATGACACAAAGGTATGAATTTACTGTCTTTCCTACAATGTGAGTTTCAGTATAGATTACAAACAATGATGTCTTAGTCAGGGTTTGTATTCCTGTACAAAACATCATGTCCAAGAATCAAATTGTGGAGGAAAGGGTTTATTCAGCTGACACTTCCACATTGCTGTTGGTCACCAAAGGAAATTAGGATAGGAACTCACACAGGGCAGGAACTTGGAGGTAGGAACTGAAGCAAAGGCCATGGAGGGGTGCTACTTACTAGTTTGGTCAGCTTGCTTTCTTACCAGCCCAGAAATGACACCATCCACAATAAAATAGGCCCTCCCTCCTTGATCACTGAGAAAATGCCTCACAGCTGGATTTCATGGAGGCATTTCCTCAAGGGAGGCTCCTTTCTCTGTGATAATTCCAGCTTGTGTCAGTTTGACACATAAAACCAGCCAGTAGAAATGATAATGCTAACCTTTCTAAATCTTACCTCTTTGTGTAAACTCAGAAGCTTCAGTGGCCCTACAGAAGTAGAGGATCATAACCTCCTCGTGACTGAAAAGGGTGAGGCTGCATGTTCCCCGGAGAAACAACGAGCCCATGGAGACTCAGACTGAGTCACTCCACAAACTGTCTAAAGAACCCACCCACAGGCTGGAGAGATGGCTCAGTGGTTAAGAGCACTGTCTGCTCTTCTGGACGTCCTGACTTCAATTCCCAGCAACCACATGGTGGCTCACAACCATCTGTGTTGAGATCTGATGCCCTCTTCTGGTGTGTCTGAAGACAGTGACAGTGTACTCACACACATAAAATAAATAAATCTTAAAAAAATAAAAAATAAAAAAAGAACTCTGCCCATATAAGCAGGATGTATCTGCATTCCACTCTTTGTGGCAGCCTATGCTCTTCACACAAGGCTAGCCCATTCATAGGACAGAAAATGGTAATCTATTTTTCTTCTAGCTGCATGCCTTCCCCTGGGGTTCCACCAGTGGGATTTTTGAAGTCTCCAGGATGACAGACAACCAATTCCTTCTGCACCCATACCTCCCGAGCTCGACCCAGCAATACCTCACCCTCCCACCTCATGCCATTCCTCTTCAGCAGGAAGCAGCCAGATCTGAACGGGAGCCCCTGTACATAAAGAGGTTGGTATGTTAAGATGGAACCCCTGCTCATCTTCCTGAACAAGCTGGGAAACCCCAACTGCTTCTCCTTTCCCCAACTCCACCTGCTCAGAGAAAACTCTGGGGTAACTTGTCATCACTTCTCATCTCAGAGTTTCCGGCCAGGGGCTCAGTTTTTGACCATGGATGGATACAGTCCCAGCTCCTAGATCACGTGTCATCACTCCACTTCCTAGAACCATGAAACCTTCTTGCTTTAGCCTGGATGTGTAACTTCCCTGACCTCCACGTGTGACATCAGTGAATCCACCTGAGAGCTGCCTCCTAAGAAACCTGCCATATCTACTTTTAATCTGGTCTAATCTGGTCTGTGTTTGCATCACTGAGAAAGAAAGCATCTATCAGGAAGAAGCTGTTGCTACTTCTACCTCTCAGCAAGCTAAGGCTGAGCTGCACTATGGAGGTGGTGTGGTCCCCACCGAGTACCAAACACTTGTCCTAGGTGTGCAAGCTCCCAGGGGTGATCATAACCTTTTGGCCACATCAGTTAGACACATCTTCTCCCTAGACACAGAGCCCAGGAACTCCCCTGTGCCATGAGACTTGTTGATTCCCAGAATCTTCCTAACTGTTGGTCACAGGAGTGAGGTGATAGCCATCATATCCATCTTGATTCTGTGTGGGCAAACCCCACACTTCCCCATCCTACTGATGATCCATTATCCCTCAGAAACGCAGCACTATGCTTTTGTTTTTACATTTATTCAATTTTTCCAACTCCTGGGTTTCATTGTATTCTAACCCTGTGACTGAGTTGGGTACTTGGTTTCCTAAAGGCTGGGGTTGGCAAGATTCTGCCCTGGCTGGAGGGTAGGACATGGAGATGTTGCTGGAAGGGAGGCCTGCAGGCTAATGAGGTTCCTGGCCTAGACTAGACAATAGGGCCAGGGAGGCATAGAGAGCACATGTGGGGCCCTGAGAGATCGGTTCCCAGTGCACCTGGGGGGGTTCCACCTGCAGCCTTAGGCCACATTCTTCTAGCAAGACCCAGGTGGGAGCCTCCTCATCCCAGCTGTCCCCAAGGAGGCCAGCAGGCAGGGACACAGACATCAGCTCCTTCCATGGGGTGCTCTTTTTCAAGATGTGTTCCACCTACCAACAGAGGAGGGTAAGAGGTTATAGATGATGCTTGTCGTTTGAGCCTGAGGGAAGCAGCCCTTTCCCCTGTCAACCTTGATGTCCCCAGGTCTCCATTCCACCCCCAAGGCCAGATACTCTCACCAACTCCAGCTGCTTTGACAGTACTGTTGTCTCCAGAGCATTAGCCAGCAGCTGCAGCTGAGTTTCACTCAGCACTGGGGAGAGATCTGGGCTGAGAGAGGGTTCCAGAATGCCCCATATAGAACCTAGTCCTCCCTTCCTGTCCCCTACTAATGCCTCCTTGGGCTGCTCACCATTCAGTGCTCCCAACAGGTAGAAGATAGGGGCTGCGAGTTTCATCACCAGCTCTCCAGAATCGAGAATCAGACACTTAAGGATGCAGCCTGCTGGGCCCTCAAGAGGCTCCACCTTCCCTCCACTGCACAGACCCTGCCCTAGCTGAGGGAGGCAGGAATAAGTGAGAGTAAGCAGGTTTGTCTAGACCCTGTCCACCACCAGCACTCTCACTCACTGAGGCCTCTAAGGCTTCCAGGCTGGTCTGGTCCTGTAGAATCCTCCTGATCTCCACTAGTAGCTGTTGTTTCAACTCCATATTTAATCTCCCAAGTTCTACGGAGCCAGCCTTCACCTCTGCAGACAGGCCTTGGAAGTCTTCCCTGAATTCTTCTTCCTCAGGGATTCCACCTGCAGAGACTGAGGGCAGTACCATCTGATGCCCATGAGGTCTTGGGGAATATTAGGAGGAGTAGGTCCAGGGAGCAGATGCTGAAGCCGCGGAGTTCCAGGGAGGTCAAGGGGTTACTGACCTGTCCTGCCTGTGATCCTCGCAAACGGGTAGCGGCGATGTAGTGCACCGAACAGATCAAATCTATGGCGCTTCTGGTCCACTACACTTCTGTTGACTAGACAACAAATCCAGATGGTGGAAGGGGAAGAGCTACTTTGTGCAGTGGCCCAGGGACCATTGTCTCAAGTCAAAGAGGGCTTAGATTTTCCCTTGGACCCTCCCAGAGCCATCCCTCCTACTAATGGCAGCCCAGGGCAGATGGAAAGCTAAGCTGGCCCAGCAACACCACCTGAATTGAGTCTCACCCATTGTGTATACATGTGTATGTGTGGTGTGTGCCCACCTCATGCCCTGAGCATAAAACACCTCAAAGCTATGGGGCATGTAAGGCCAGAGTGTCTGGGATCTTACCTGAGGAGGACTCAAAGGTCCTCTTTTTCTCATCCGGGATGAGAAGGATACCTAGCAGCAGGCAGAAGCAAACAGGTCATCAATCTCTTACCCCCAAGGCTCCTGGGACCTCATGAGACCCTGTCACTATGACCCACATCTCATTCCTGACACACTTTACCATCCTTTCTGGGAGATCATGCAACGAGATACCCACAGCATCCCCTGGCTAGCTGAAGTGCTTCTCTGCCACAGAGTCTGGACTCTAGAGACAGTCCCTTGCCACTCACCCCATGTAGAGCCAATGAGCAGTTTGGCCACTCGAAATGCAAGGACGCTGCCTGGAGGAAGGGTCACCATCTTCTTCTGCCTTTGGTGGCCCCTGCCTTTAACCTGTAGGATGAATATGTTTTCAGGGCTGTAGAGTGTACAGCTATGAGTGGAGTGTTGGTGACAGGCTTGCCATTGGTAATGGCCTCATCCAGCCTTTAGCAGTTCCAGCTAAGTGGGCAGGTGGGGCTATGGCTTGCTTGTGGAGGGGTCTCAGAAGAGTCTTCCATCACTGCCTGGGATATTGCCCCTGGCTTCCTAGATTCCTGCTGTGTGCCCAAGTAGGACAAGGATGGTGTTAAGGTTAGCATAACATACCCGAAAGAATGTGAGTTGAGGCAGTGTAATCTTGCCTGAGCCCTCCTGGCTGTGCGACTGCTTGATCTTCACCTCCTCCTTTGTCTTGAGCACCTCGGTGATGACAAACACATCATCCCCACGACCCCGAAGCTGTTGTAGGAGTATATTCTCAGGCTGCTGCAGGTTCCTACAGAAAGATTGCCAGGGCTTTCCCACAATGGACTAGCCTCCCACCCTCCCATCCTGCTAACAGGAGAAAAATGGAAAGGCTAGGGAATCCAGGAGGCTGTGGATACCAGGCTTGGCATCCCTTCAAGGGTGTTCCCAACAGTGTCTAGGTGCTTGTGAGGGTAATGACATGTTCAAAAAGGACAAGTGGATGCCTGTGTCTGTGGAGGGACTCCATTATGTACGATCCATCAATGTTCCAAGTCCACATCACCCTCTTTCCATAGCAACCAGGAGCTCAGCCTGATTCCAAGGGACTCAGGCCCTTCCTTGATATCCTGATCTTCAGGATACACTCCTGGCAACCAAGGTTTAACTTCCCTCCCCACCTTACATTGTTTATACTGCTCACTTCCTCTTGGGCTTCTCTTGTTCAGTACTGAGAGATACTGTCTCACCTTCTGATGCCCAGAACCCAGCAACTTTCCCAAGAAGCATGACTGCTCAAGGTTAGAGAGCTGTCATCCCTTCAGGGGCTCACCTTTCACTCTTCATGATATCCCAGGTCTTTGGATTCACACGCAGCATATACATACTCATGGAGGCACTGGAACTGGCAGACATTGTAGCCTCAACAGAAATTATCTCTTTTCCTATGGGTGACTCCACAGCCACACTGCCCTGAGTATCCTCATCGACATCGTCAGAGACTTGCAAGGGACCAACACACTCAGGTTCTAAAACGAGACCAGCTCTACAGTCGTATTCCAGTAGCCACTGCCTTGTATTTCCTCTGTAGTAATGGAGTTTAAAGAACTCCCCATTCTGGAAATAGGGCCAGAGGAGTAGAGCTGAAAGTGCCCAGTAAGATGGCAGGCTGGGCTTCGCCCACTTCCTTCTTCTATTCAGTCTGGGGACTCAGGATGTGGAAGAGGGGAGCGGGTAAAGGAGATACCTGGTTCTGGAGCACTGGGTTCCAGGATGTCCTTGATTGACAGGTCAACAAATGTATAATGGGGTTTCCAGAACCATGAGCTTGATAGTTTCCTGCTCAGGAGGCTGTAAGGCTTTAAGCTGATTGAATTTGGAACATAGTCCACTGGAATGAGATCTCCTCTGCTGTTGCCCACCTCCTTGAGCACACTCTTGATCTTTCTCTCAAAGGCTGATGTCATGATCCTGGGTGCGGATGGCAGAGGTCCATACTTAGTTGCCTCTAGCACTCAGGACCCACATCCCTTCAGAGTAGCCTTGCCTTGTTAGTCCTGGCACATCCTGCCCGACCAACACAACACAGAGGACACTGTTCACTCTGTGGCTCACTTATCTGTCTCTCCCTGGGGTCTCTGGGACTTGACTGAGGAGGAAGAGGAGTAGCCTATTGCAGCAGGTCCTGCACTATCCACACCACTAATTATTGTGTGTCACCCTTGCCCACCTGCTGAAGTCTAAGATACCCCATTGTGATCCCTTGCTGAGGGCCAAGGCTGGGGAAAGAACACGAGCCCCCACTTCTAAGGGACTCGGCACAGGAGCCCACAGCAAAGCCAGTGTTCCGTGGTTCCAGAAGTTGGTGGTTTCTTCCATGGCTCTCATGTACAGCTGAGTTACCTGACCTTGTTGAACCTTCATAGGTCAGAGGCCAAAACAGGCCTGGGGTAGTCAACCTGTGCAGTGTGTAGCTACTGTTACACCCCTCGGAAACCGGGTTAGGGCTAATGGTAGACAGTAAGGCAAGAAGACCCTTGGGGACCAGGAAGGGACTTGTGGGCCAGTGAATCAGCATTCAGCACAAAAGCCTAGAGAGTGCCCTGAGCTCCTCCCCAAACCCGTCTTCCCCCATCATCCCCCTGCCAGCATCAAGCACAAATCAGGCAGGTCCCACTGTATCCCTAGTGGGTGGCCTCCATACACACTAGGCGCTAGGTGCTAGGGTCTCTTCAATCTGTCTGGTGTAGTGGGGATTCCAGAAGGCTGAATCCCCAACTTAACAAGCAGACATCAAGCCCATAGAGTAGAGACCACACCAGAGTAGTGGCAGCTGGGCTTTGGCAGGGGGGGGGGGGCGGCGAGTACCAGGGTGGCTCACCTAGATCTTCACCTCTACTGAGGTATTTGGGATCACCAAGGGAAGCAAGGATGTCCTGGGGTGCTGGGGAAGGTTCTCTTGTCTGTTCAACCCGGGAGCAATGGAGCCACCAGCAAGAGCAGTTCTGCAGGTGGTGTCAGGACACAAGTGAAACCTTGAAGCTGTAGCCAGCAGTATTTAAGAAGCCTTTCTTCCTGGAACATCGGGGTGTGGCCTGCCCTAGCCTCCTCCTCCTTGCTGTAGCCCGCCTGGGCTTTCAGAAGCCCCCTGAGATCCTGGTAACAGGGAGTTTAGGTTTATTTTGGTCTGGCTTCCTACAGCTTCAAAGCACTAATTCTTTCTTAAACACCTGGGCCACAAAAAAAATCAGAATGGACTTCTCTAGAGGTTTACAACTGTGCCAGTTGCCAGCACAATCAAAATTATTTAATCAAAAGTAAATAACATCAGGCTGGAGAAATGGCTCAGCTGTTAAGAGCACAGACTGCTCTTCCAGAGGTCCTGAGTTCATTTCCCAGCAAGAACATCGTGGCTCACAAACATTTGTAAGGGGATCTGATGCCCTCTTCTGGTGTGTCTGAATGGAACAATGGTGGTGTACTCATATGCATAAAATAAAGAAATAAATATAAAAAGAATTACCACTATAAAAACAGAACAAAATTAAAAACATAAAACAAAACAAAAAAAAACTAGACAACATCAAAGGCTTGGCTGGATGGTTGTCCTAAGCAAATTGTATTAAGACTGTAAAAAAACAAACCCCGAGATGCATGCAGACAGGAAAGAGGAAACAGTAGAGCTGTTCTAGAATGCAAAGGCAGTTTTTGAAACGGGTGAATGTAGAATTACCAGGTGATCTAGCAATTGGACTTTTAGGTGCTTATCCAAAGCAGGAGGTCATCCTAGGATTGTGGCTATCAATGGGAAGTGTTGCTGAAAAAACAAACAGGAGCTCAAACAGATCAATGTGTACACCAATGTCTATGGTAGTATTTAAAGTTTATCTTGAGATTTAAAAAATGTTCATTTCATGTGTGTGAATGTTTTGGCTGCGTGCATGCATGTGCATCATATGTGGGTGCCAAGAACTGAGTCCTGGTCCTCTGTAAGAGCAGCAAGTGCTCTTAACCCCTGAACCATCTCTCCAGGTCTCCATGGTAACATTTAAAGTGTCAAGCAGATAACCCTTAATTGAACTGAATGTCCATCAACTCATAAATAGATTTTCAAAAACAGAAAATTTGTACAGTATTTTCCCCAGTTCTGGGCCCTGCACATACCAGGCAAGAAAGCCCACTATAACTAAGCTCTGTCACCAACCCACAGTAGGGTGCTTGCATGAAAACTGGGAGGCATGAATACACTTCTAAGATACACTGTAGAATGTGGATGAACTCTGAAAACATGGCCACAAGTAGAAGAAGCCAGACCAAAACGAAACAAAAACCAACCAACCAACCAACCAACCAACCAACCAACCACACACCCACCCCATCAGTGTGCAAGTTATCCTGAATGAAATCCCTAAAATAATCCAATCTGTTAGTGGTTGCCACTGACTAAGGGATGAATAAATTGGGAGAAACTCCTAAGGGTTTTGGAGTGTTGTTTTTTTTTCCTGTGGTGTGGTCAATACCCACACAGGTTTATTTATCTGTGCACGTGTTTGTTTAATTTAACTTGGAGACAGGGTCTCTTTATGTATCCCCTGCTGGCCTGGAGCTCACAAGACAAACAAGACTGGCTTGGGACTCCCAAAGATTCACCTGCCTCTGCCTCCTGAATGCTGTGCTTAAAGGCATGAACCACCTTGCCTATACATGTTTGAATATATTAGACTCCCAGAATTATGCACTTTCAAATGGCTGGAGTATATGTCATATGAATTGCTTCTCAATAGAGGCATTTATTTTAAAAGCTCTGGACTCCCAGGGGGCTGTAGAGATGGCCCAGCAGTTAAGAGCATGCACACTCTTACAGAGGATTCAAGTTCTGTTCCTAGCTCTCACATGGTAGCTAGTAAGCAAGTTCCACAGAATCCAGTGTGTGCTTCTGCCCTTCATGGGCACTACACACACATGGTACACAGATACACAAGAAGACAAAGAATAAAATAAAAATAAAGAAAAAATGCTTTAAATAAACCTGGAGTTTAATAGAAGCTCTCAATATAGCTACAGGCTCCTCAGGGCCATAGTGTTCTGGTATCAGGTGGACCAGAACTGTGGTCCTAACTTCAGCACAGAGTTCCTCACAAGCAGCCCTCCCAGGCCACTCTTAGGCTTTGGAGCCTTGTAGCTTGAGCCCTAAGTTTAACGTAGGGCTCTTGAGAGTGTCCCTTCTCCCAGGCTTGGCCATGGTAGGAACAGGCTGCTGCCAGGTCCAGGTCCCTTCATTGACATCTCCCAGCTCTTCAGGGATGGGATGTTTGCAGCCTGTCCAACCTTTGAAGACATATAGCTAGACAGAGCTGTTCTCTACCAGGACCCCAGAAATCAAGAAGCTCATACTTATTCTGACTCTAGAGATGTGCAGGCCCTCTCTATTGGAGGGGCCCATACATGTGGTGCTGACCTGGTGTGGTCTCTCCATGATGAAGACAGGGCACTGGTCTGGATGGGAGCTTGCCTGGTGCAACTCCTTGTTCACAGTTTTGGGACTTTAAAACTAATCTCAAATGAAAAGTTCTGGATGTGTTGTCTCCTGATTCAGACAAAAGGGAAACATTACATTGTACTGACAAAACCCCAGAACCAGTTCATCAGGTAGAGGGTCTGTGGACTTTGGGTTGACCTTGAGCTCTGATTGAACTCATTTGCTGGCCATGAGTCCCTGTCCATTCTGGTTTCAGCAGTAGGCTCAAAGGAGAGCAGCATTCTGTATAAATGTATGTGTCCTAGTTTGCTTCACCTGCCAGATCCCTTACCTCCCCTTCTATATACCAAAGATATCTCCTCACCTGGGACAGCCAATGAATGCAAAGATTAGAATGCAAAAATTGCCTATGTTAGATTAGCCTGTGGGCATTTCTGTGGGCCTGTCATCTTCAATGGTGATTCATGTGGGAAGGGCTGCCCATTGTGTATGCTATCATCTTTTGGCGTCCCTAAATGTGCTTGGTCTGTATAAGAGAACTATGGGAGAATAGACCTGGGAGTGAGTCGGGGACAAGCCGGCAAGCAGCTTTCCTCCTTGGTATCTGCCACAGCTTGTGTTCCTGATGTAAAGATTAGATGAGATTTAGAACTTTCACCCCACTTAAGAAACTACCATTGAGACTTTCCATTGAGCTCTCAGTCAGAGAATTCCAGAAACGCCCTGTCCTAGGAAGTGACTCAGCCGAGGTATCGGCGAGACCCCTTACCACCCCTTCTACATACCAAAGATATCTCCTCACCAGGGGCTGACATTGAATGCAAAAGACTATGGGCCCCAACAATGGGAGACAATCAACTCATGATGTGTAAAACCTATAATCTGTAGAAGTTTAAAAAGTGAATGCTTTTGCTCTTCGGGGTTGCCTTTCTCTGATTGTGGGATGGCCCCAGTGTGCTGGATAAATCAATAAACCTCTTGCACATTGCATCGATCTCTGTCTCTGTGTCTTCAGAGAGGCACATACTGGACATTAGAAGCAGTGCTCCGGGTTTTACACTGACCTCCTTCAAATAGGAACTGAGACATACAAGCCACATAAATCCTTTCCTTCCCACAGCAACAAGAAGCAAACCCACACAGTATGTGCATGTTGTACACATATGTCTCTATATCTGTATGTACTATATGGACATGTGTATGTTTACTTGTTCATGTGTTTGTACCTGTAAGTGTATATGTTCATATTTCTACAGGAGCATATGTAAGTGTGTTTATCTGGAAGTATAGATGCTTTTGTGTGTTTATGTGTGCACATTTGCACAATGTATGCGTTTGAGTGTATCCATGGGGCTTGTGCCAGGCCAGAGCTGTCCACTGCAGGAAGTGACTCCACCTGACATACCAGGTCTTCAATCTCCCCCTGGTCCTTTTCTAAGCAGTACTGGCCTTTCTGAGCCTTGCTCAGCCTTGTTCCTTATTTCTCCC